GGGGCAGATGTTTTCCAAGCATGCACATAGTGGGTGAAGGTGCAGCCTTCGGAGGCAATTTCTGCTTTGCGCAGGATCTCATCTCACACTCTATGTCGATCGGGTGGCCAGTTTAAGCGAGAAGCAGCATCTTGGACTGAATGGCATAGGCTCAGCAGAGAGAGTTTAGTTTATATAGTCTAGTCAACCGTCATGCTACTGCATGATGTGGTGGATTCCTTTTTGCCCTTGGCATGCAGTGTTGAGCCAGAAAACTTGAGAGAACAATGTGTAAATAAATGCCCTTGTGGGCTTCCTTTTGGCAAACCAATTTTTCAATTGCCACCGCGCACACGAAACTGGTTTGGTCCGTTCCATTTGCCACGCCATCGTGTCCCAGCTCCATTGAGGGCTGCCTATGTGATGAGGGACATGTTCCGGGCTGTTGCGTACATGCACAACGCCAATGTCGCTTGTTCTTTTTATGACGTCAGCGCGCTCTGTCTTTCCGCTCGATGCACAACAGAATTTGATCGAGGTGTTTTCCAAGTTGCCCAAATTGTCATGGTGCTCGTCAACCAGACTTCGCATTTTTTGGTCACATGGTGCACCGCAAACTTGGGTGACCCATGTGGGCGAGCATGCATGTGACGCCACCTCCTGGGTGGCCATTGAGGTCGCTCACCGCAGCTTGTCACAAGGAGATGGAAAGGAGACCAACGGACAATGTTTTAAACATCGCGCTGACGCTCCCCTGAGATGCTGCAGCTGCATCTGTAAATTGGGGTGACCTGCCCATTCGCATGGACACGTTCGATTTATAACCAGCAGTATGTGTGAAGGATGAGCGGATGAGCGCCTTTTTTGGGGGGGATAGGACAGGCTGTTTTTGGATGATGGGTTCTTTGAAACATTTTGAAGCTCTCAATGTGCTCCCAATGAAAGAAGGCCGGATTTGCTTGCTTGAGCGCCTAGGTGACCTCAAGGGCGAAAACTGCCTGATGTTGACACAAGCACCTCCTGAAAGGACGAGTGGATGGCATATGTGACATGTGTGTACAAAAGCTTAATGCAAAATCTACAAAACACTTGCTACTAGTAGCATCCTTGCTACTAGTGGCGATGCACCTTGCTACTAGTCTTCAAGTCTGATTCAAGTCTTGTTCCGCACAATTTGAGACCGAATCGGGTCCATGGCTGGCAGGAATCGCCTCAAGCTCTGCGACTTTGGTTTGTGCCATGACTGTATGGAGATCCGAGATAATTTTGGAAAACAACGGGCTGCAAGCATGCAAACAAAGGAGTGTAGACTCAGTTTAGACTGTAGCTGCCATGCTGGGCCATGCTCATTGATCTTTTTTTTTGTATATAATTTGACTTAATTATTGATTTGAACGCGGAGAAAGCACAACGGGGATAGGTGAGCGCTTGGGGGCGTTTTCCTGTCAACTTGTCAGCCTCAACACCAAGGTCAACCACCTTTGCTCCAGGCCTCTTGTGCAGATTGTGAGCTGTTGGGGAGGTCGCGTGAAACACTGGCTTCTTGACCGGTTGTGCATAGTGTACCTGCCTGTCCCTTTTCTGAAAGCAGGCGTTGGAGCTTACTCAAGAAACACCTACTTGTAGCCCTGTCCACGCTGTCAACAGCGACGAGCTTATCTAAAGACAGGACATTGAAAAGACTGTAAAAAACACACCTCCCCCGAACTCCGGCGTCGTTTTTGTTAATAGGGCGGGTCTCCCAAATAGGGGACCCGCAAAAGATCGAACCGTAGAGGCGGCTTGTCGCTAGTGAGGGGCACAGTGGGTGGTGATTCTAGTGGGTGGATCCTACTGTAATTGAAAGGGCACAAGAATAACGTTGTGTAGGCGGCAAAAATAAGCTCTATATAGGGGCCTCCGACATGAGGCATGTTTATTATATCGAATGCCATGCGTCTACTCGGCTGTGTACGAAGAGGCTTTGCACAATATGGATGAGTTTTGTATATTACTGTCGTATAAAGAGTTGTTTCGCAAGCAACTCGTCCAGGTCAAGCCGCACAAATACCGCAGCTGAGGCAAGCCCTTGAAGGGCCGAGTGGGCTCAATTTCCCACATTGCACCTGAAGTGCTCTTAAGCCACTTGGATTCTCATTCGATGCCACTTTGAGTGACTGGATCAGTGATCAGGCAAGAAAGGAAGTTGCAGGTTAAACCGTACAGCTGACAAACATGGTAACACGCCCCCACACAGCCCCGTGCTTGGGACATGTCTTTCTGTAAAATAATAACATGTCTATACATGTCTCAGAGAGCACTGGGTTTTTGTTAGTTTTGACAAAGGTCAGAAAGAGGTCATTCGAGGCCAAGGACGAACCGTTTATGTCCATTTAGAATTTATTTCCATGAGTTTCAGTAGAGAAAGCGACCTTTTTTCCCAAAACGTGTGTGCATGATCTTCGAAAGTGTGTGCGCGGGTGGTATCAGTTCTCAAGCATATCCAACATATCCAACACGCATCAACACGCTATATAGCACCGCCGAGTGCAACATTTGCAAGGGAATTCCGTTCAAAACTTACAAAAAGGAACTGTGAGCTACGAAAAAATGCCGCGCTGATTCAACCTAGCAAAATGCTGCTATTTAAGTGAACATGTAAAGGTGCTAACTTTCATGCCAAGTGCAACGACATCGTGGTTTGATGCATATCGTTTCCCCCAGTGGCCCTGCAAAAATCAGCAAACACCGCAACTACCACGCGAAAGTGGAAGCAAGGGGGCGAAAGCGTGACACCATGTGACACAAACATGGGCGATCTGGTTTTTGCTTCGCACTGATTGTGTCAACAAGATCACTCGCCATTCAGTCTATATAGTCCCGTCCGTCACCGAGCCAGACCAAGGTCCAGATAGCTACACCTGTGCATGTGACAATTGGAGTCCCAATCTCAGCCGTGATGCTTGCATTGTCAGTTTTCACCCACGGGGTTCGAACACATCACTCAAACAGTCGGTGCGACAGAACTCGCCAAATTCCATGATCGAACTCCACCCGAGTTCAATGTGGTAGGGACATGAAGCAACTACTGTCGAGGCTGCGGCATCATCTTCTACCACGTGATTTGCGGCTTTTTGCCTTACCATGACTGCAGCTTCTTTTGTTGCCACTGCCCTTTTTCGCTGCGCACGGGCCTGTCTCTTGAGCTTAAGCTTACTACCCGATAAAAGGTTGAGGGTGTCCAGTCAACATCAGTCAACAGCCGAAAGGGGTAAAGCATAGATGGAAGAACAAAACTCACCAAGATTCGGGTCAAAGCGAGCCCTGCAAGAATCAGGCTCATCAACCATGGCCAGAGCAGCCGAAAGGGGAGTACCAGACCCGACCAGGATAAGTCAGAGGAATGCCGCCAAAACCAAAGTCTTGCAGTAGGGCCGGAAATCTTTTTGTGAGGGTGGATCCGGAGCCCGCAAGCCTTTAGAACATCATTACACCGAAGTGACAGCCACTGCTTAAACTTTAAACAAATCCCTAGAAACCAACCACTCGACGTCACTGCTCTGCGTGCGAAATCCGGACACACCAGCAGCCACAAGACTCTAGAGTCACCATTCCCTTTTTCAAGATTCGGGTAGTGCAACCAAACACGCAGGAGGAGAAGGACGTCCTGAAGGGAAAGCTGTCCTTTGCCGACCGCCACTGGTGTACCTTGCCTGAGCTGGTGAGACACGTCCGAAATTGAATCAGTGCGGCTATTCGACTGCAACCCACGTGCGAAGTGCCCCTCTTTTCCTCCACATACCTTCAGCCGGAAGCCCAATTTCCTTCCAAGGCGATGTCTCCGAAGGTGCAGGGTTTTTTGTGGCTTGAGCTTGAATTGAAGGTTCTAGGACTCTAGGACACGTAGTTTTGGAAACTGTTAGCTCATGCAGTTTGAGTCGTGGTCACACACACATTATGTTTTCAGATTTAGTCTGGCTTGTAAAGATTTGATCCGATTTGGCAACCCTGCCAGAATGCTGCCGTCATGATCTCAGCTGGGATAATGTTTGACAGTAACTGATGAGAAGGCTGGGTCATGAAGGCTTGACCCTCTGAAGTGTGCAGATGCAAAACTTGGAGCCTGAAGGGTCAAACTATGTGACCCTGTGCAAACTCTAAGCAGAGTGGCCCAAGGAGAGTCAACTTTTGCTTCATGCTTGCCTGTGCCAAGGATTGGTGTCTAGGTTCGTCGAGAGGGATGTTGAGTGGCAAACTTGGATGTGGAAAGTGCTGAAACTGGCAAACCTTGTCCATGCAGTACTGACTTGCAGGAGTTTGAGCATGGACCGTCGCTGTTCCTCCATGCATCCTGCTCAATTGTTGCAGCTGACATTGCCATAGCAAAAGCGAGCACACTGTAGCTTTCGCAGCGCCTTAGCCGCTTAACCTGCTAGAAATAGCATGCACCAAGCATCCAGTGCAAGAGCCACTCCGATGACGCCAAAGAAACCAGCCAAGTAACAGGGATTAGCAGGGCATTTGTTTTGCACTCCTCGCTCTGATGGGTTCGAAGGCGTTCCTCAACTAGCACCGAGTCTGGAGGGGACTTTTTGTCGGGTCGCGCTCCAAGCGAGCAGCCGTGCCATGCTGGGCCGAAAGATCACATGCCGCAGAATTGGCGAGGCTTGGGAGCCAGGATCTGATGTCAAAATTCTAAGGACGTTCCATCCACGCCCAAGTGGTAGTTGACTGCCATTTGGTCACCCTCATGACTCACTACCCTGTTGGATTTACCGATCCCGTGTCTCAGATTGGGCGACTGGAAGCTCTGAATCGCCGACGCCCGAGTGGCGGGAGAGACGAGGCGTGACACGAGACGTTTGTGCGATAACTCGTGTGGTCCATGTTCGGATGATCCCTCTTTTTCTCAGCCTTGTCAGGCAGCGTGCCTTGCAAGGAGCAGGGTTGCAACCCTTAATGTCATTCATACGTTGCACTGCACTCAACTGAGAGCTGGAATGGGTTTCAAACTCAAAAATAGCGTTTACTCCTCCCCGCTCATGTCATTTGCTGCTCAGTATAGGAACCCCTCTTGCAGTTGCAACACCGAGAGATTACAGGAAGAAGCAGACTATGGAGATGAGGCTGATGAACAGGTGCCGCTTTATATTGCTTTCTGCGCTTCATGTCTCCAACAAACCGACGTTGGGTCCTGGGTTGGCCGCCTTGACTTGCTCACCGGAACATGCATCAGGACTGGCGTCACAGTCGAAAACGTGGACGTGAGGAGAACCAGGAGAGAAATTGTTTGTGGACAAGTCATGTCTTCATATTTGAGACGCCCCAAAGAACCAGCCCGGGTCCCACCTTGGGTCGTTTTTTGCAAAGGCCTAGAGGCCTAGCGACTCAGTGCAGCTTCGCTGGGGACCGCAGGAGATCCCGGCCAATGCTCCGTGGTGGTTGCGCCTTGGTGCTGCCCGGCAGGAGGAGAATCGCAAGGACCGGAAGGACCAGAAGGACCGGAAGGATGCGGATGATCCTTGGCTGCATTGGTCGAGGGCCTCCGTCCAGAAATGTCCAGAAAGTGAAGGTTCCGCACAGGTAGCACAAAAGGTTTCATAGTGATGATCCTGACTCGGGTTTTGCGTTCTGGCACCGGAAGTTCTTGGTGTTTTGCCGTCACTGCAGGCTCCACGGACCACCAAAAGAAAGTAGGCAGCAGAGTTGACGCTGAGCATGTCAGGACCCGTCAACGCCGGCAGAGCCCTGGTGGATGCGAAGGGGAACAGGCTTAGGATGGCTGCCCCATGGTGAGGCTTGCATGACCAGTTTGAGTCAACTTCAGTTCCTAGTTTTTGAGCTTGTGCAATTGTCTTAGCAATTGACGACAGTTTTCGCCTTGCCCCGTTCCTTCCCAAAAGTTGAGGGCTCGGGTTAGAGCGTGACAGGAACTCACAGGTGGTTCCAGGTTGCACTTCACAAAAAACGTTGGCCCCCAACAAATCTGTTGGCTGCCCCTTCCGAAAGCAATGCAGGCTGGGCCACCAAAAGACGAGCACCTCAGTGGAGAGGACTATTTTTTCCGCAGGGTTGCTTTAGTGAGCTGTGGCGTTCAGTGGTGTTGAGTTCAGTCTGAGATGCCAACAACATGTTAGATGGACGACGGCGATGCTACCATGTTTTGTGAGGATACGCCTCCACTGGGCCGACCAGCTTCACTGCATGGCGAGGTGAGGACTCGAAGCTTTTGAACATCGTTCGTGATTCTTCTTTAGCCAGCACTCAAGAATACTCAAACACAAAATCAGGAGAAAGAGCCAGTCTGTCGATTTAAGTGCTCCTGCCAGGTAACGCCACCTTTGCCCAATGAAGATGAGGGGAGTGTGACTCCGCCGTTGCTGGATGAGGGAAGCGTGACCCCGCCCTTCAAGGAGGAGCCCGAAGGCCCTGCGGAGGCGACTTGGCAGCTTCTGCGCGTTTGGATTTCATATAGCCCAAATATGATCAGATATGTAACAATGTACAGTCCAGTGTAGCATTGTATAATCGCGTTGAATTTGAACAGCCATGCCAGCATCTTGATGTTGTAGGGCTTCCAGGGATGTGCACAGGTGCCGACATTCTCAGAGCCCTCCAATGGCTTGAAGCGTGGCAGGCGGGGCTCTGAGAGTCTGGGAGGCTTCAGGCTGTGTCCATTGCCCCAGGTCGCCGCTGAGACCACCTCACCCACCGAAGCCACCAGCACATGTGGAAGTGGAGGGTATGGTCTTGCAGGCTCGAGAGCCATGCATCATGATGTACATCCGGGAAGAGACCCACATGGAACCTGGAAATGGACCTTTGGAAGACTATTTTCTTCTACAACCCAGCGGTTTTCAGGTTCCATGTGGGTCTCTTCCAGTGTGCATCCATTGGTTCTCAGGTCTTTGCAGTCACTTGCGCCACTTCTCCAGGCCCTCCGTGAGAAGGATTCCACCATACCGCAGAACTGGCCAGCCATCGTTGCTGCTGCTTATGCGAGCCTGAGCTTAGTGTGTGTTTGTGTGTCAAACCCTGTCTTCAGGGGACCAACCAGTTTCTCGCTTGACTTCGATTACAGTTTCCTTTTGTCAGCAGGGGTAATGTGCACTCCTTGACAAACTCAGTGCAACGAAGCTATGCCTTGTAATGGGATGCACAGATTGATCACCCATGTGCACCTGCGGTTGCACTGCCGAGACACTTGAACCTATGTAAAGACAACGCCATTTAATTCTGTGTTTTTGCATTAGAGGGCGAATGCATTAAGCATCCACCAATCAAATTCAATGCGGAAAGTGCTCTCCAACCCCCCTGCTCAGTGCCTAACGTTGCTGTCTGAATCCGGTACAAAAGCGATTTCTCTAGCTCTGGCCTGAGACCAGTGTCTCTAGTATAGCCTAGTATAGCTCACACCTGTCTCCTTGGCGCCACTTGCACGGCCCTCAGGCAAACGTTTCTTTCCGACGGCATCAAACACTCAGTTTTCAACGTCACTCTTGCAGCCCATTTCTGCGGCATCCCCACCAAGCCCTGCCAGTGTCAAAGTCCTATCAGCCTATCCGTGCATAACTCCTCTTTTGCGATGCCTCTTTTGTGCTCCCCCTGCAGTCGGCTGGGGTCGGCGGACAATAAGAGTCAATAAGTAATATCACCTCAACCAGTAGGACTCAGGGTTGAGTTGAACTTGTTCATTTTCCTGATTTTTTGTGCTCACAATTGAGCAAGCGCATCTTAGGAACGAGCATGACAGCGTTCAGTGGCTCATCAACTCCAAGGCCAGGAGGGCCAGGATGCTCTGCATCTCAAGAGCTTCTTCAGTTCTGAATTGGTTGAATGCTAAGTAAGCACAAGAACCCTCGCGGTTCGCAGGGTGGCATGTTGCGAGTTGAGGGTAGGAGAGCGAAGGAGGAGATGGAGGAAAGGGGAGGAGAGGAGTGGAACGGAGAGACCCTGACCTGCTACTGAGATTTGTGTGAATCCCTTGCAAAGTTTGAGCGTGGAGAGTGTTCTGATAGACCAGGCGTGATTGTGGTTGAATACCTCCGACATCCTCCGACAGCTTTGGGACTTCCTTGCATTGGCAGGTGGATGTGAACGCTGCAAATTCAGCAAAGTCGAGCGCTCTGTCGCACGCAGTTGCTTGGCGGTTCTCGTTGCTGGCGTATTGTTCACTTAAAAGAAGACATGCCCTCCAAAATTTCCTCAACCTCGGGTTCAAAGAGTTCAGGGAACATATCTCACATTGTTCTTGCTCTTCATATATATATATATATGTTTTTTTGTTTCTGCATATTGTTATAGTCTCCCTCAATGCTTGTCAGCCAAGGTTTCGAATCAAAATGTGCCACTTTGCAAGCACTTGGGTTGCGGACATTCAACCGTCAGATACAAGGTGATTTTAAGCCTTGCCCGTAATTTTTCTTGGTCTTTGCTTTCATTCCATGCACACTGACCAGAATTCTAAGAATGCACGACTGCAATGATTCAGAACACTCAAACAACTAAGGCGTATGGTCCACAGTTTACTGGAAGGGAGAGCTGATCCAAATCACATCAAGAAGAATGCCAAGGGAGTCAGGCAGAAGAGTGAGTTGTAACGTGAGATGGAGTGGGATGGCTGCGTGCCAGCGAGAGCGAGAGCTTGGGCCTGTTTGGACAAACGCAAGGGATCGAACAGGCTTTGGATTATGATTTTCTGCTGGTTCTGGTAGACCACAATAGAAGAGTAGAAGATGCTTTGACTACCAGGTTTTGGAGGAGATGTACTTGGCACTAATGAATCGTAGGTTGCTGTTGGGGATACCTTAAGCTTCGGCTTACTATTCTAGGCAGTGGTATGTGTGTGTGTGTGCGTATTCCACGTTAGACAGGCGTACCTTGCTGGATGTGGCTGAGAACGATGGGGCGCCCCCACCGATTATCAACATGCTACTGGAATGAATTAGAGGCGCCTCTGAGGCTTCGTCCTTGATGCCCTTGTTACCAGTAGCCATGGCCTCCAACCTAGTAGCGTCCTTGTTCCTAGTAACGATGGCCTCCAGCCTACTAGCTTCTTGCTACTAGTAGCTTCTTGTTCCAAGTAGTAATGCCAGGAGCTACTAGTAGCTTCTTGTTACTAGTAACGATGCCCTTGTGATTAGCAGCTTCTTGCTACTAGTAGTAATTCCCTTGTTGCTAGTAGCGTCGTCCTTGGCAAGTTGAATTTGCTTTCAACATAGCTTGCCGAGATCGGAGATCCCAAGTTTCACCCCTCTTCTGGACAAAAGCTCGTTGGGTTGACAACGATGATTGCCAAAGCTAGCTCTAGCTGTGAGAAGCTGCAGTTGTGCTGGCTTCTGCACAAACAATTCATTTTTGGTCTCGGCGCATCTTATATACATATGTTTTGCATCCGATTGACCGATTGACTCCTGTTTGCTTGTTTATTTGATGTTCACTCATGCGTTCCTCCAAGCTCCTCTGTCTTTGGCAGGCTTTTTTGTCCAATGCTCCCTGTAGTCGAGGGAACATCGAGGGCCCAAAGGTCCATCCACACTTTGCCCAGGTTGGAGATTGCCGGTGGCCGCCGTTTTTCACATCTGGACGGGACTAGCGCTTCTTTTGTTCGTTTATGTTTGCATTCATCGAAGCAACAGAAGCGCAGAGAAGCTTTTTATGAACCAGTCGCATCAATAGTTTGCATGTGATTAGTAATCTTGAGAGGCTTCACATGAGCTGAGATGAGAGCCCCTGGCGCAGGACCGCCACGGAACGCAGGCTTCTGGCCATCATTTTGACCCTATGCTTCTCGCCGTAGCGGCGGTGGAACTTCGGCTAACAGTGTTAGAGCGGAACACACCACCCCGAGCAGCCAGAAGCCTTTTGCTTGTCTGCCAAGACACTCCCGAAAAGGAGTTTGATGGAAGCGGTCCTGATATAAAAGCCTGATGCTCTGTGGTTCACTCTGTCACATGCAACTATGGGGCTCGGCTATACATGTCACTGCAGCATAGACATGCATTCTTATATGATATATAATGATATATATATATAAAATGATTTACTTGCTGAACAGTTTTGCACAGTAGCCTTTGCAGCAGGACCTGAACACAATGACAAATATGACAATGCGTATAGATATGTTTATCCTTTGCGCGGCTCAGGGCTCTAAACATAGGTATGCTTGTTTGGTCTCGTCTGAAACTGGCGAATAAGCTCGTGGGATCACACTTTATTTTCGTATTAATCACGAAAGGTAGCTTGAGTGAGCTACCTGAGTTCTCCTTGCTTTAGCAAAAATGTATTACAATCAGGAGTTGGGATTGTGCATTGAGTTTGGTCCTGTAAGAGTTGATTCTGTTCGTCGGGGGGGGGGGCCCCCCCCCTGGATCAAATCCCCCCTGCGCCGGTTCACGCCGTCATGGACTTTTAACAGGGTTGCTTGTGATTGCTTGCTACCTTTCGTTCACCCCCTCCTCTCTCAATTTGCTTGTTTATATCATTCAGTATGCCTCTTTAAGCAACGTTATTAGGACGCTATTAGGTGGAGGCCATCGCAAGTAGGTCGGAGGCCATCGCTACTAGTGGCAAGAAGCAAAGCTACTAGGGTGGAGGCCATCGCTATTAGGTGGACCCTTTAACGCGCACCTAGAGGGCCCAACATGACGTTTGTGCATGATTCATGTATAAACTGCAATCGTGGATGCGCATACATGACTAATGTTGTTTATATTATTGTATAAGGTGTCAATAGTTATCCTTGCTGTCAACAAGCCCGCTACCCTTTTTTTCATCCTGTTGGAAGGGGTAGGTATATAATATTTGCACAGGCTCAGCACAGAGTAAGCCTGTAAGCATGTTGAAAGGAGTGAACTTGTGAAGTTGGAGGCCATCGCTCGGTTGGAAGCCATTGCTATTAGGTTGGAGGCCATCGCTAGTAGTTTATTAGGTTGGATCCATCCGGCCTTTTCCAGATTCCGCTATCCCGCTAGCCTCAGGAAGGCCAAAGGCCCCAGAAGCGACCCAGACTGCGCCAGTTGGTGGAGGAGGACGACGGGAAGTTTTTCTAGCTGTGGCACAGATACTTTGCACAGCGTTGGTTTCGCATGAGCTGACTCGGCTCTTCTGCAGATGGTACTGCTTTCCCTTCTCTCTTTTGCCTTGTGTTCACCCTGTGCTCATTTCCCGTAGCTGCAACCACGCAGTCCTGTTCTCCGTGGTGACCCCAATTCTCACCGACCATCAGGCAGACTCGTTCCACAGCATGCTCACGAGAATTCGTGAGTCCGACATGGCCAAGAGTGAAGCCTCTTCTCCTTCGACTCCACCTCTGGAAGCTCAGCTGGTGAATTACTTGGCTCCTCCCCAGTCTGTAAACGGCAGGATGGCTGTAGGTTTTTGCCACATGCCAAGGAGAAGCCCGGCAGTGCTTATGCTGAAAGATCTGCATTCAAGAAGGCATATGCCAGGAAGTGCCTGAGCTGCATTCCAGGAAGAGATCAATCTTGGCCATGTTTGCCCTTTGAATGACTGCCTTGCCCAAGATGATTGTCAGAGATTCAAGGGAGGCTTTGTGAACTTGCGGATGCAAAGGATGCTCCCACTGGTGGGTGAGAAGCCGATCTTGGACTTTTCTGCTTACAAGGGGGGCATACCAGACCAATGTCAAGGCCACCGCATCTGGGCCGCATTCTTTAGCCAAGCAATTAAATAACCATTCAGTGGTCAGAGCTACAAGTCTACATGGCTCCTTGGCAAGATTTCATGTAGCCACCGACACTTTTGAAATGTTCAGCACGTGAAAGGAAAAACACATCTCAGTCAGGATGGCTTTTCCTTGGCACTAGCACAGGCAGAGGTGCGCCCAGTGACTGGCCTCCTTGAAACAAAGTAGCGTCACAGAGCGACAGTGGAATGGTCCGTTGCAAGGCAGAATAATGAAGTAGACTGAATTGGTGAGATGAGTGCGTTTATTGGAGGCACCAAGACGCATCTACGCTGGACTAGAGCTCCCTGGTGTGCGCGGCTTGAAGCACCACGAGGAGAGGAAAGATACCGCTTGGAATCACAGACTTTGTAGGAGCCGGTAACCACAGGATGGTTTGCCAGTCTTTCCTAATTGTTTGGAAGCGTACCATCGTTAGTTGTAGCGAGGCTTTCTTTTGTTGCGTAAACCGTTGGAGATTTGCCTTGAGGCGGACCGCTGGCGACAAGGTATTGGAGCTGGATTTCAGCTGGATCGCGTCAAGGATGAAGACGAGAAGTCTGACCCTTTGAGAGCAGCTTGGGCAAAGACCACCTGAAACTACTTATATACTTGTCTTGATATGTCCTGCATGCCTGACCCCTGCAACCAAACTTGTCAGGTGCCTTCTGCAGTCCTAGACTCTAGACGGGCAATGAGAGATGTTTCCACCCCATGACAGGGATTACTGCATGGCCATCCAGAAGAGCCCTCCCAAACGGGCCATAGCATGGTCATCCCATATACGACCAGGGTTTTCGACATTTTCGACCGACGTTCAGGTTTGAAGGAAACTTTATGGAACTGACTTGCTACTGTCTGGCAGGATGGCATAGCGGCATAGCAACATGCAGCGTGACATGTATGAATGTCCTTTCCATGAGGCGATCTATTCTAGCAATCAAACAAGCAGGGCAGTATAAGGGGTTTCACCCGTGGGTTCAATGAATATCACCCGAAAAGATCAGAACGCTGCAACAAGTTCTTCACTTGTTTATCAGTTGTTTCAACTCTTGGGTGCACTTGAAAACCTTGCATTCCTGGCGGCTCTCATGGAAAGACCCAAGTGGTGGCTGAGGATCCTTGGGGCTGTGCATTGGCTGGGAAGCAGCCTCTGGATGAGGAGGAGAAGGTGGATGAGGAGGAGGATTGCTGCAGGGGAATGCTGTAGTGTAGTAGTAGACACTGCGTCAACATTGGCAATCACAGCCCCACAGGCAACCTACCATCGCTATCATATCCCATTTTGCCTGTTCCGTTTTCCGCCACCTGCAGCTCGATCTTGAGCTGCAGGAGCGCTCGCCGCAGCCCAAACGCCGCCCAGCGCCACCGGTCAAGCCGCGCCCACCGGTCTCGCCGACCACGCCGGTCTCGCCGCCGGTGAAGGCGCCGCCCGTGTGCGCCAAGACGGCGCCACGGCCGAAGGCGCGGCCGGTGCCGCCTGGGCAGCCTGAGCAGCTTTTGGCCAAGGCACGGCCGGGCACCTCGGTGAAGGAATGGTGCTGAGCCTAAAACCGATGCAGAGGGGGTTTAGCTTCACTGGAATTACTGTATGTGAGCCCACATTGTCGAGATAGTAGTGTTTGCTAAAGAGGGTAGGAGATGGTAGGTGTGTGATCCAAGCCCAGGTAGCCAAGAAGCTGACGACTGCGTGCCTGGACCAGGCCTCCCACATATGATTGTGTTGATGTAGCCATTTGGCATAGCCATCTCAGAACATCATTTCATGATATATATATATATAATTACACACGTAGTTTCAGGAATCGTACCGCACAGTTGCGCAGCGGAATGTGTCCAAGATCCAAGACGTACAACCTACAGACGTATTTCTTGGTAAGTAAGTACCTCATGTTGAAACAGTTCGCCGCACCACGACAATGCCCGATCACGTCACCTTGCCAAATCCTGAATTGGGGCTTTATTTCTGGACAATTCAGTTCTCCTGCTTGCGAGTCAAAGAGCGAAGATTGATGCAGGTGCTGTCAAGGTCGAACCAGAACCTCCAGGGCTTGTCACTTGGACCTTTCAATGGAGTGCTTCCCATTGTGCGTGAACTGAGTGAATCAACTACTGCATGTCACTTATGTCACTTACCTGCAATACATATACTGTATATATACACACAGTATTTATAATGCAGTACATTATATATTATATATATGATCTATTTGTTTGTCGCCATAATTTTTGTCAATGGCACAAGCTAAAGTCGTTGTGTTTGCTCAATGGTCAGAGAAGTAGGTATGAGTGCAAAAGCCGTTGGAGCTTTCTTGGGCAAGGGCAGGGCTCACGTCGTTGGAACGTTTCGCCACCCGGGCACCCCGTGATTGGCGAAGGTAAAGGCCAAAGCCATGCCTCGCAAGCCTGAAGGTGGTTGCCTTAGCATAGCCCTGCTTGCAGCAGAGGTAGTAAACGGGAGTCCAGTCATTCAACCTCTACCCCACCAGCCCGGAGCAGAGCCAGCTGGCTCGCGGTGAGGCAGAGAGACGCGCGACATCATGCGGCTATTGTGTGTGTGTGTGTGTGTCGAATATTTGTACTTATATACAGAGATAGAGGTAGATGAGACATCCAATATATATATATATATATTTATTATCAGTTTCCAGTGCCCCTGTGTAGTATGTGACATTCCAAGGTGCAAATGGTGCAAACGGCCCTCCTGAGGAGGAAGCTGGTGAGATTGGCACTTTGGTTCAGACTCGTCGCGGAGTCGCTATGACATTTCTTTTGATTGGGCAAAGAGGGGGGGGCGGTGTATTGATGTCCAAAGAGAAATCTAAAGAGTTTTGTTTTCAATGTGTTTATGTCAATTCTTTTGCTTTGCAAGAACCTTTGGAGAAGTGGGGCGGATGCGTAAGGTGACAGGCAGATGTCTTTGGCCGACCTTCCGCGACTGCTGGAAGAAGGCCCACTGACGGTTTGAACCCAGCTTGGGCCAATTGAAAACACGAACGGCTTTTTTGAAGAAATTTGCCGAACTGCTCAAGCCAAGACATCCCAGAGTGCTTGTGACCAGTGGAATCTAGGATGAAACTGATGAAACTGAAGGGGAGGACGCTTTGGAAAACCAACTCCTGGCAACGGAGCCGCCGCAGCTGGCTGTTGACAACAAATCAGCATAATAGCGGCTCTTGAGATGTTGGTGTTGGGTCCTGCTCCTCAGGCCAAGCTAAGGCGGAAGATGAGGAAGTCGAGGAAGCCAAGCCCAAGGCTGAAAGACAGTGGTTTGCGCACATGTGTGGAAGGCAGCAGTTACAGGGTATTTTGTAAATATGAAAGTGAGCCATTTGGCACTATTATTGCCAAACAGCACCGAAAGCTGGGGCTGTTTGGCAGGGATGCAGCACACGGCAAGAGAAACCAAAACATCGGTGTGTTGGGAGGTAGATGCGAAGGTGAAAGTGCCAGCCGCTGCCTTGCCACCGATCCGCAAGCTGATGGGCTTGGAGGACTCATTGGATAATACGTGATCCTAGCCATCCTGGCCATTCGACTTCTCCCTCGGGCCAGGCCAGTCAAGAAACATCACCCTTGACAAATATATCGGACCATTAAAAAAATACATATGTTAAACACAATTGCCACGAACTTGCAGGGGATCAAACTTGTGGATGAACTTTCATTTGTTGCTTCTCTTCTAAGCGCTTGTTTGTCCGCTTTCGAGGATGCACGCCTCAGTGAAGTGCAAATGGAGCTTGTGAAAGAACTAGCCGCTCAGCTCACCAATGATGGATTTTTTGACAGTCCCCTTGCAGCTTGACAGTTCCTTTGGTCAGTCCTTCTTTTAGGTGTAAATGTTCACCCTAGTACCGAAGTTGGCTGTCCAAGCCAGAGGGTTGTCATGCGCATGCCGTCCGGGAAAGAAGAGTACTGAACCTGATGGATGAACCAACCCATTCCACAGAGAAATGTTTGGGACCTTTCCTGGTTCCCGACCACCTTGCTGAACTGTGACTTTTGACCCCACCTAGTGAGTCTACTAAGGCAGAGAAGACAGATGCCACAGTAGCTGGTAGCTTTTGATTTTACAAACTTGTTGCCCCCAAGTGCTCGGGCCCACTATTCGGCTGCAGGTTGTCATTGTAGGAAAGATTGGCTTTGCCGCACAGGCTTTTGCAGAACAGGCTTTTGCACATTAGAGTGCGGTTTTGCATGATTTTGCAAAGCGGAGCCTGCTTCAGTCTTTTGCAGTGGCAGTATTTCGACATTTTTGGATATGATCCTAGTTGTACGTATATATATATATATATCAAATGTTGATTCTTTTCTTGGGTCGTTGGCATGAGGGGCTAGACGGCTAGACGAAGCACCACTTCAAGCCCGACTGGGCATTGCTGTGCTCCTGGTTGCCTGTACAGTCACCGCTGGCACTCAGGCAGGTGGCTCGAAGTTTCATGATCCAGCTCGTGATCCTTCAGCATACCGAAAACAAGCACAGAATATGTGCAACATGACAGCAACTAAACATAGGCTTCGGCCACATGGACCTCTATTTGTATGGGACTTTGGATTGTTGTTGCCAAGCGCCAAATGG